ACTTCTGAATATTTAGTCACTGAAAAAACCTTATGAATAGCAGAGAAACACTGTCAGATATAGTGCTTGAAAATGAGTGCCTCAGGTTGGAAGAAACTCAAAATGCGACTGGGGAAGAGCTGCCTCCTCCAAGTAGAGTTGACTGTGATGACACGAATGGAATAAAGTCTGTAGGAGAAAAGCCCATGGGACCTTCATTTGCTGATGAAGGACTAAGCTACTTGTTGTTGTTAAGTTCCATCGAGTGGATTCCGACCCATAGCGACCCTGTATAGGGTTTCCAAGGAGCAGATGGCGAGCTTGAACAACACTGACCTTGCAGTTCAAGCATCTTTGCTGTCTGACGCATTAACCCACAGCACCACACCAGGACTCCTAGGGTTCCTTATTTAGTTGGGTTAAGAGTAAATATAATCAAGCACTGCCTGAGAGCAGTTTATACACATATATTCTTCTCCCTATCTAGTCCTTGTTTCTTAGATGTATGCTTCAGCCACTGTTACTATGTTATTGACAGCCTAGTTTCATTTGAAGCCTGGTCTCTGTCTGTGTAGCTTCTGATAAAGAGTAGCCATCTAGGCAAACAGGCATCTGGGAAAGTTAATTATGTACTCCCATTTGATGTGTTTAATAGGATATCTTGATCACTTTGTAAATTAGTGTGGATGTTAGAATGATAGGATTATAACCCTCCATGCTGTACTACTTAACATTGTTTAAAAGAATATAAATACTACTTGTAAGAATAGGTAAGAAAAAGCTAAAGTGAGTAGAGAGAAATACTGGTAACTGATAGTACACGGAGGGGATTATAACCATTGTAATGAAACAAGGTGCATGATTTGTTGAATGTAAAACTGATGATCTGCCCCATAAACTTTTACTCAATCCACAATAAAAACCTTAAAAAAGAAAAGAAATTAAATGAAATAGGTAAGGAGCTCTGGTAGCATAGTGGTTATGAATCTGGCTGCTAATCTCAAGGTTAGCAGTTCAAAACTACCAGTGGTTCCACGGAAGAAAGATGAGGCTTTCTGCTCTCACAAAGATTTACAATCTTGGAAACCCTATGTAGGGTCACTGTAAGTTGCAACCAATTCCACGGCACACTGCCACTACCACCAAGAAATAGGTATTGAACACCATTTAAAATCAGCCTCTTTGCTGCAGGTGTTCTAGTAGTAGTTGTCATGTGCCGTGGAGTCGGTTCTAACTCATAGCGACCCTATATAGGATTTCCAAGGCTGTAAATCTTTACAGGAGCAGAAAGCCTTATCTTTCTCCCACGAAATAGTTGGTTGTTTCGAACTGCTGACCATGAGATTAGCAGCCCGATTCGTAACCACTACACTACCAGAGCTCTTACTTCCTAATAATAAAAGCTTTTCTCTTTCTTTGTTTATCTGTAGTGTTTGTTCATTGGACTCAGTCACTCTGGACATCAGACCCAAGCTTTGGGGTAACACTTCTGTGACATCTGCCATTGAAGAGTAGCACCCTTGGCTGTAGGCCTCAACCAGGGCCACAAAGTGACCAAGAACATGAATCAACCAAGTGAGATACAACCAAGGGTGCCTACCAATCACACCAAGTTCATGTGAAACATCATCTGGGTGATGTGCAGCTTTGTCCCTTACAAGTGACATGCTATAGAGCAGCTTGCAGTCTCTACGAACAAGCAGGCCCTCAGGTTCATCAAGAAAAGGGTGGGGACACATATCAATGCTAAGAGCAAGTGAGTAGCCTAGCAACATCCTGGTGCTATGAAAAAGGATTAAGCCTTTCCCTCCCCCTACACATAATAAGGAGCTCTGACAGCATAGTGGTTACAATCCGGCTGTGAACCACAAGGTCAGCAGTTCGAAACTACCAGCTGTTCCACGGGAGAAAGATGAGGCTTTCTGCTCCTGTAAAGATTTATGGCTTTGAAAACACTGCACAGGGTCACTATGAGTCGGAATCGCCTCCACCGCACACCACCACCACCACACATAATATAAAAAAGTCTTTCTAGGAGTCCTGGTGTGGCACTGTGGGTTAATGCGCCAGACTGCCAAGTTGTTTGAACTGCAAGGTTGGCGATTCAAGCTCACCAGCTGCTCTCAGGAAACCCTATACAAGGTCACTATGGGTCGGAATTGACTCGACAGCACTTAACAACAACTGGATTAAAAAAAGAGAGAAAGCTAAACATGGAACATTGAAGCAGTTCAGCAACGAGCAGTAAGAAGCTGTTCACACCCTTATACTGGAGAAACAGAGGGAGGATGTCTTTTGACCAGAGCCCAGGGCTGGGATAATGTGTCAGTTGGAGTCAGTCTGAAGAGACAGAGAGAAAAAGAGGAAATACCGTAGCTTTTTCCTTGTTAGGTGCCCGTGTAGTCAGTGCAGACTCACAATGATCCTACGTCCAGCAGAACGAAATCCTGCCTGGTCCTGGTCCTGGTCCTGGTCCTGGTCCTGGTCCTGGTCCTGGTCCATCACAATCATTAAGCTGGAGCCTATTGCTGCCATTGTGTCAATCCATCTTTCTCTTTTTCACTGACTCTCACTTTATCACGTATGATTTCCTTTTCCAGGGACTGATTCTTCCTGACAATAAAGTGTGAGTAACGAAGTCTCATCATTGTGGCTTCCAAGGAGCAATCCGGTGATCTGTCTTCAAAACAGATTTGCTTGTTCTTCTGGCCAACCATAGCATATTCAAAATTCTTTGCCAACACCATAATTCAAATGCATCCATTTTCTCCAGTCTTCCTTTTTTATTGTCCAACGTTCATACACATAAGTTTTGTTGTTGTTATGTGCTGTCGAATCGGTTCTGACCCATAGCGACCCTGCATAGGGTTTCTGAGGAGCAGCTGGTGAGCTTGAACTTCCAACCTTGCAGTTCAAACAGCTTTGCAGTCCGGAGCATTAACCCACAGTGCCACACTAGGACTCCTCATATACATAATAGGTAAATGAAAATACCATAACTTTCGTCAGGAGCACCTTAGTCTTCAAAGTGGTATCTTTGATCTATAACACTTAAAGAGGTCTTTTGCAATAGATTTGCCTAATGCAATATACATCATTTAATTTCGTGACTGCTGTTTCCAGGGTTGTTGATTGTAGATCCAAGTAAAATGAAGTCTTTGACAACTTCAATCTTTTCTCCGATTATCATGATGTCATTTATTGGCCCATGATATATTTCCTTGCTCCTCCAATCTCCTGAAAGTACCTTGCATTGGTGGAGTCCAGAAGCCCAACCTGGGAGCCAGTCAGTATGGGAGTCTATGCATGCAGCTTGCCTGGGGTCAGTCCCAACTCCATACTTAGAAGAGTATGGCAAAGCAAGGAATTAACTTAAGGGAAAAACGGGTCCAAAATCAGCAGAGTGAAATCAAGAAAATCTGAAAACATAATCGATGAATACATCTTCTTGACAAAGGTGTATTTCTAGAATTGCAACATTTCCCCAAATAGCCTTTAAAACTGGTTTGCTCATTCTAGGTTCTAACCCTGGATCATAGCGTGCATCTGGCTGTCATGCTTCTTAAAACTCTATTAGTCTAAAACAACACCTTTTTTTGACTTGCTGGAGGCCAGCTGTCCTATAGAATGTGCAATCTTCTGAAACCTTTCTACCTTTTACTATCCTTTAACTAGATCATCTATTCAGTCTTGTAACTGTTTTTTTGTTTTGTTTTTGCTATAACAAATTTATTTCCTCACGGTTTAGGGGGCTAGAAGCCAGAATCCAGAGTGCTGGCTCTAAAGAAGGCTTTCTCTGTTGACTTTGGAGAAAGCCCTTGACTCTTCTGAGCTACTCTGCTGTTCCTGAGAAATCTTCATATGGCTTGAAACCTTACTTCCCTGATCTCTGCTCTTTTTGCATCATTGTATGATGTTTTTTACCTCAAAATAGATTGATTTAAGATACACTCTGTGGTGCTATAGAATAAACAGTGGACTGCCAGGTCATTTGAACCACAAGTTGGCCGTTCAAACTCACCAGCTGCTCCTCAGAAACCCTATACAGGGTCACTATGAGTTCGAACAGACTCAACGGTACTTAACAACAACAATTTTAGTGGATGTAATTCATTTTTTTAAAAAAAAACTTTTGTTGTGAATTGAGTGAAGGTTTACAGAGCAGATCATCAGTTCTATATTCCATAACTCATACACTTTGTTTCATCTTGATGACTGCAATCCCCTCCACACAACAGTTATCCCACTTCCTCCCTGTGGTTCTATTGCTGTTCCACCGTCCTTCTCATTCTTTCTCAACTAAGTCCTTAAGTAAATGTTGCCCTTTGACCATTACATAGTTAGCATACCTTACTAGTGTTGTTGTCCCCCCTATATACCTATCTACTACTTGACTTAAAAATTGGGGCACAAGGTTAAGTTCCGTTCCAGAGCT